ATAAGAAAAGAAGCTCTCAGGTTAAGTATAATGAGGCAAGACTGGGACTGTGGACCTAACTTACCTGGGACAAGGACACCACACTGTTGTCCTCATTAATGGCTTCATCAACAATTAACCGATTGGGACGGTTCTTCTGTTTAAGAATAGCTGTTGATAAGTCATCACCTTTTGAACTAGAAAGAGAAAATAAAGTCAGTCCCACTTACATACTCCAGCTCCAGAGACCCTACCAGTCTCTAAAACTCACACTTAGAATAAGAAATAGGGGATAGATGAAGCTGTCCCTACATCATAAAGCTCGGATGAAGGAAATTCAGCCAAAACCATGAAGAGTCCTATCTAGCATGTTATACAATTCCCATTCCATCAGCTCTTTAGTTATTCTGAGCACTGGTATCCTAGCTGTAATGCCCCAAGTGATTTTTGCCCTAGGGTCAGGGAACTATAGCTTAAGAAGACAAAACAGAAGTGAAAGCTAAGTAGCAATTAGAGAAATTAAAATAGTCTTAGTACAGAATAGTGACTAAGAGAAGGGGCTCTGTAATCAGACCTGCTGGGTCAGAATTCCAACCCTGTCACTGCCTAACTGTGATCTTGGGCAAGTTATTAACCTCTCTGGATGTTGATGTCCTCATCTGCAAACTGGGGGACATAGTAGTACCTGTCTCAGAAGGTTATTTTCTTAAGTGAGGTAATGAATACAAAACGTTGAACACAATACCTGTCACATGATATTAATGGTCACTGAGTATTAATGATTAGCACTGAGTTAACAAAGCACAAGCTCTTTCTTTGCTAATCTTCTTGCAGAATGAAGCGGCCAAGAAAACTTCCTGTAAGGCTCAGGGAGGCCCCAAGTCCCACCAAGCAAGCCTGGGGACAGTGATGCAGAATCATTAGCACTACCCTTCTTACTGGCCAAACATGCTGAACTCCAGAGTATTCTATGTATCACAGAAATGTCAAACATAAAAGACACTGTATTTGAGAACAAAACAAAAAAACAGTAACAGATCTAGAACCTTCAGAATGAGGCTCACGTTCCAAAGATGGTAATCTCTCCAAAGACACACAACTCCATGGAGTTTGTTCAAAAAGTCAAAACCAAGAAATGCTGAGGCACAGGGCAGACCTAATCCCTCTCACCTAAATCAAGATTACCTGAGTCTAAATTCATTTAAAACTCTAAACAACTTCTATCATTTCCTAGAAGCTAAGTAAGATCATTCACCCAACACCAATTTCTTACCCAGTTCATTTCCAGCTTTCACTAACTAGACAGTCAACTATTCCTGAGAACCTTTTCAATGAATTATTTAACAAACAAATTAACAAGTATATACCAGGTACTGTTCTAGGATACATCAGTCAATAAAACAGTATTCCTATTAGAAAAGGATGCTTATGCTACACAATAGCAGCTAGCAAGTTAGAGGGTTTTTACATCTTTTGGTCCTGATACACCAACAGAAATACAAATCCCATTCATCTAACAATGTTGTAAGCTTTCTGCTAATCCTCTTCACATAGGTTGCACTTTTAAACTAGTTTCTAAGAGTAGAGTTTCCTCAGCTTAAGCGTGCTTCCCCCCAACCCAAGTGTGGCAGTCTGGGCACAATGCTGCAAAGTAAGCAGACTTTTCCAATGCTTACCAACACCTTTGAGGGCAAACATGGTCAATGTGACAGATGAGGGCAATTTAAACCATTGACTCTGCCTCTCCCCCAAGCACTGAAATTCCCTCCAAGGGCTGCCCAGCTTTCTATTTGACGATAGGACGAGCTAGAGAGAAGTAAAATACCCAATGTTTCTCTAATCATCACAGTTTGTATTCTAACCCCAAGCTAGTCTAGGAAAACTTCCAATCTGCCTACCATTCCTGACTCTGGCACTGGATTGGTATGCTCTTCCTTCCGCATACATCTACTGAGATCAAAGGAAGTAACTTCTAAAAGAGAGAATTCAGGGAAGGCAGTATAGCACAGAGAAGGCAGATAGTGTCTCTATAGTATCTTACTACGCTGATGGACAGTGACTGCAATAGGGCATGTGGTGGGAACTTGATAATATAGGTGAATGCAGTAACCACAATGTTGCTCATGTGAAACCTTCATAAGATGGTTTATCAATGATACTTTAATAAGAAAATAGATAAATAAATAAAAGAGAGAATTCAGTATGATCATGGGCCAACAGCAGTCCTGGAGGCTCTTTGAAGACACCCCCCATTGTCTTCTGCATGAGTCAGGCCCCTGCAGAAACCCAATTGGGCCACAGGGAACTTGGAGGGAATTCAGGTAAGAGTAATCAAGATGACCTAGAGGTTAGAAACCATTTATGTATGATGCCAGGTTCTAAGAATTCTGGATTTTAATTTTTAGTCTTTAAAACAGAAGACTGACTGGATAACCTAAGAGAATATTTTTAGTATTAATAAGTAGTCTTTTCAAACAGGCACCCAATAATACTTCATCTCGATTCAGAAACTTGAAAAAAAAGGAACCCAACTCTATAAATTCTCTTCAAGTCAGGAAGTGATTTGCATTGAAGAGTTTCCATAAGATTGCTGTGCCTTTTTCCACCCCACTCCCCGACTACCTAAAGTTATTGATTCTAAATTCAACTGGCAGAGGTGGCCAGGTTTTAACTGATGCTTTACTAAATGGGAGGAGGGCTTAGGATTTCTCTACACAGCACCTTGGGGAAAGCAGAGCGTGTATTCTAGTTAAGGAAATTTGACCTTCACACCAAGAAAAGCAGAAAACTAGGAAGGCCCACAAAATACAAACTGAGAATCGAAAGCTGCTTCTCCTCGCCCCCATTTCGCAAAATCAAGGAAAACTGACTAAACTTTTCTCACAGGAGTAACAAGCCTTAAGTAGGAAGACCAGAAACGAAAAAGCTATGGACCTCCCTCTCCCTAACAGCCCCACGCGCCTCTGGTCGCGAAGGATGCCAACCATTGGCCAGGCGGACCCGGCTTCCCGGAGCTCGCCCGGCCTTCCCCGTTCCGGCCTCCGCCAGTCTCCGGGCGCCTAAGGCCTTCACGTGGCCCAAAGTCCACGCCCACCGGGCCCAGCCAGGGTGTCGGGCGCTCGGGGCCTGCTCCCTCCGGGGACCACAGGCCTTCAGCGGGTGGTGGGCAGAATGGCAGGTGGGCGCCCCACGACCCTAGGGCTCCACTGCGGTAAAGTGGGCCCCGAGTCCTCTCTAGGCAGGGACCGCCGTTCCGAGGGCGCCAATCAAGCCGGCCGGGGCCTACATGACACAGCACCATCCGGCCCAGGCCCCGACCCAGGCCAACGCTGGCCCCACCTAGGAGGCGCGCGGGGCTGCGGTCAGGCCCTCTCGGGCCCGTGGCCCCTTACTCGCTCCGTTCCTCTCCTTCTCTCCCTCCTTCCCCGTCTCCACCTTTTAGACGCGCCCACAGCCAAGCCCCGCCGGGCCTACCCAGAGCGGTGGGTCCCCCGGTGCGCGCACCCGAGCGAGCGGGCGCGCGCACACACTCACTCAGCTCCGGAGGCCATGACGCGTGCCTCTCCCGGCCGGCGGCTGTGGAGGCCCGCGGGTAACGGCTACGAGGGGTGGCAAGCGACCGACTGGGCCGAGGCTCAGCTCTCCTGGGTGGGGGACAAGCAGCGACAACAAACCCGCAAGCGTCCTCCCTCTCGCTTCCTCCCAGAGGCAACGGGGCGGTGGGCGGGCGAGAGACGCTGGCTCCTGATCAGCGAGGGGCCAGCAGCTGCGACTCAAAAGACGAGTGCAAACGCTGCGCTGAGACTGAGCAGAGAAGAGCCGAATCATCGGAAGGATAGGTGCTCTCACCTCAACCAATCAGCGCCTGCCCTAGGGACGGACTCCCGCCCACCTCTCCCCAGCAACCCGCGGACCAGAGCCAATCAGGAAATTCGCTAGCGGCCTGGCTCCCGCCTCACGGATGCAGCACGCCTAGCAACGCCACGTCAATTGGCCTCAACGCTATGCTTCCGCGACAGATTTGTAGTCTCAACCAATCAACGAAAGGAATGAAGCCAGATCGGCGGGTGAAAGGATAGCTTTTAATCCCTTGGAGGCGGACTCTCCCACTTGGCTCCAGCTCATTGGCTCCCGTGGTTATCCCGCTGGAAGAAACTGGCACAATGGATTGAACCCTTGTATTAGTCTAGTCCAGTCGTAGTAATAATTTGAACACCATCTTTACCAAAACTTGAGGACCCACTCTAACTCCTCTCCTTGCTCCTTCCAAACGCTGGCTCCAGCCACCCCTACTCTGGACCCTTTGACCAGCACCCCAGTTCTTAATCCACTCTACCCTATTGTCATTGCACTCTGATAACCTAAGTCCCACAGGCTTTACAGTTCCTCAGTGCTTGGAGGTACATTCTTCCTCTCACTTCTGCGTATCGATATCACCAGCTGGAGCACTTAAGTCCAGAGTGGGTCAAAAGGCAATCACAGAACACAGCAGACTCGACAGGGCCCAAAGCAGCAAGAAAATTGCAGCCTGAGACCTGAAGTCTGTAGACCCAAATTGAGAGCTACCCCTGACTGTATTCAATAGCCGGCTTTGGTGGCATGCTGATTCAATTCACTCTTCACCCACTATGCACACTGACATTTTTGACTGAGACAGTCAAATCCCAAACTGGGGAGTCTCAGAGACTGAGAGTTCTGCTTGTCGTTCCCCTCTAAGAAACATACCTGCCCTTGTCTTGAGAGGTCTCTCCAGACCATTTTCCAAACCTAACTCCACTCATTTTTTAATTGCACAGGATGAATTTGCACAGGATCCTGGGCTTTGGAGCTGTAGCTTTTAGGCAATGGTAAGGACTAAAAGCCACTGCTTCATGAGTAAGAATTCCTATAACCCTTTCTTCTACCCAGACTTCAAGCTCATGAGGTAGATGATCTTGGGAGAGCGCGTCTTAGACAACCAGCAAGCAAGTGAATAAGACAGCATTGAGCCTTCATATTTAGATATATGTAGTAGGCAGACGAGATGGATATGAGATTTTACTCAACACAAGAAAGGGGAAAACAGGGGAAAAGGTGCCATGAGCAAAGTCAATGCCTTTTTGTAAGTAGGGGTCTTCCTCTGGAACCAGAATGGTAGTAACAAGGCCAAATTTTACAGGACTATCACCAACCACTCCAATGTCAGACTTATAAGGAATGGTCAACTCCAGAAACAGAAAGACCTCCCCACAGAGAAATGGGCCACTGGGTCCCCAGCTCGGGCTCTTCAAAACATGACAGCTATATGTCAGAAGGCTCTAGCAAGGACGTCCGAAACTCTTCAAGAAGGGTTTCACGGTCAGGGGGCCGTATCCAGCTCAAACATGTTTCTAGGTACAGGGGAAGAGACCTGGAGAGCAAAAGTATAATTCCTAAGGGTGAAGGATAGGCAGAAGGCTGGACAGCCATTGCCTCCTTTTCATTCACCACCACCCAAAATAAGCCCAAAGACCCCAGGATGCCCACTGCCCCTCAGCCCCAAGCCCGCAAGCCTCAGCCTCACCATGTAGCATTATCTTGTGGCAACTTAGCTTGGGCCTCCAGTCTCCACCAGAGAGCAGTGGCCTCATCTTTCCGGTCCATCCGCCTCAGAGTCTGAAGCAGGTGAAAGGAAGCATCTTGATTACCTATAGCCCCACCCCAGAGTACAGAGCCTTAGAACTTGACGCAGTCTTAAGAATCATTTTATAAAAAGGGAAACTGAGACCTAGAGTGCATAAGTGTCTTGCCTACAGTCACACATGGAATCAGGGATACATCATTCCCAACATTCCTATCCCTGTGTACTGCTTGCCCAGGACAAAGGGCTCAGATGACCCTGCTCTTGCCCAACACATTCCCAATATAGTTATGGTTATTGTCTGAGGACACTGGGAAGACTGGGGAACTCTTAAGAAGCCTTCATACACTCCTATATTAAGTCTTGTATATGTCTTCACACCTGGGAACATCCCTAGGTATATACTACACAACCCCATTCACCCCTCCTATCCAGAATATCACTCTTCTATTAATCCCTAAGTACCTCCCCCATTTGGCCTGTCCTTGTGCATTTGTGCACAGCTGATGTCATGCAAGTATACAAACCTGGGCACATCTGCACACTGAGGAGGAAGTCCTGTAGGGCTTTGGTATCCTGATCACTGGCCACCCATTCCAGCCCACGACTAATCAAGGCAGCTGCCCGAAGCTGTTGTAGTGCCACATCTGATGTACATCCATGATCAGAGTTGGAAGCAGACCCTAGGGATCACCCCCAAAGTCAAGAAATATGTTCTCAGTCACATAGTCACCAAACCCCATGTCTCCCTCTATTGCTTTTTGTGTCTGGAGTCCCTTTGTCTTAAATCTCTTAGTGGGCTGGGACACATGAAAAGGGGACTAAAACCCACCATCACCACTTCCAGGAAGGAGGAAATAAATTATGTCTAGATCACCTTGTCCTTTGTCTTTAGGTGTGGCCCGGTAGAGCAGCTCAAGGCACCTGAAATGGGACATAGATCAGAGATGATGAGCGATGAGGAGGCATCCTCAGAAACCCTGGGATAAGTAGATAAGATGGAGCTCACCAACTCAGGTCTCAATCAGAAAATTATCCCTCCACCCTTCTCCTAGGGCCCTGGTTGGCTTCTTGGCTCACCGGCTAAATTCACTAATTGCTTCTTTTTTGGCCCCCAGGTGCACCCAGGCTTGTCCCTGAAGCAGGTAGGTGGCAGAGACCCAGAGTGGGCAGTGTGGTGACTCCTTGGATCCTTTTCTGACGTCTTCCCACAGCCGGGACATCTTGGGAAGCAGAGATGATGTGCGGCTGAGCAGCTCCTCACATACAGTCAAGGCATTCTGGGCTCGGCCTGCCTGGATCAGGGCTGCTGCTGACTCCAAGAACACCTCAGGCACACAACGCCCTGGGGGGAAGGCGGCTGGGGAGAACTGGGGTGGGAGGAGAGTACACCCTCATGAAGAGACATGAACGAATACTCCCAACCTCTTCACCAGGCTCTGGTACCATGCAGAGACCACCCATTGCTCGCTGCCCTGGACCCCTTGCTCTGGAAACCTTCCTGACCCCCAGATTGGACAGGACAGCAGAGGGAAAAACAGAAAACAGCAATCCTGCTCTACTCCAAAGAAGACTCCAACACTCCCACCTCATTGCAAAGAACCCTGAAGCCATGCCTACCTTTGACTCTGAGCCATCCAGCAACAGGGCCAGCAGATCCAAGTAATGCTCGGCAGCATCCTCTGCCCTGAGAAGTCATAGTCCATGAGCCTTATCTTAGGCCCTAATAGGGACTTCCAAGGGCTCTTAGCTAACCAAGGACCCTGGAGAGTAGAAAGGGTGGGGTTGGGGCTCCAATCCTGGCTCAGTATAGATCTAACTTCCTTACAGAATGGACTGGGGAAGAGACATAAGAGTTTTAAAGATAAAACAAGGTTAGTCTGGTTCGGGTCCAGCAGAAAGGCAGGAGGCTCAGGAATGGGGAACCTGTGTCCTGTCTCTGACTCACCCATCCACACCCCTCACTACTTTCAAGAATAGAGACAGAGGTACATCCCAGGGGAGGCATCAAAAATGGGAAAATTAGCTCAGGTGAGCAGTATGGCAGAACCTCACCTTCCCGTCTGTAGACATCGGCTTGCTAGCAGGTATTTGGCCTGGCTCTGTGTGCCACAGTGAAGGGATGAGGCTGGATCAGGTTGCGGGAGTAGCAACTCTACCTCAATGAGGAGCTGGGGGGCTTCAGAACTGTGAGTGATACTTAAGGCCTAAAAGGCACAAGAAGAAACTGTTATCTATAATCTCTGAGAGCCATACTTCCTTCTATTTATACCTTGACTAGTTCTCCCAATGCAAGCATCTCAGCATCCCCGTATCTTCACCTGGCATAGTGTCTTACCTCAACCAGCAGCTCCAGACTCTCCAGCTCTGCTGCTGTGTTCCCCAGTTGCCGATATAGCCTGGAGGCCTCCAAAAGTGGGGGGCCCCAGGTTGACCCATGTTTCAAGGCTTCAACCAAATACAGCAGACCTCTCTGTGGATTTCCCTAGAAGGGTGAGAGGACACAAGCATCAGGTAACCTCACAAAGGAGAAAGTCGTCCATAATGCCCATGGTTTCCCCAACCCACCCTGTCTTTACCATCTTACGGAGACAAGTCCCCAGGGCTGTGTACACCTGGACCAACACAGGCCGTGGGCACAGACCTGAGGCTGCTTCATGCAAGCAACTCAGTGCCCTGGGCAGGCTCCCTGTGATCAGCTCCTGGAGGCCTAAGGGCAATCAGGGTGTGACTTAGAGAAGCCCATAGAGCAGGGGACTTGATAGGGAACAAGAGCACAGGGAGGCTCTGATGAGCTAAATGAGACACGACAGGAAAGGCCGAGCCAAAGGACCTCTTAAAACATGCAGTGGGGAGGAAGGGATGAGCCAGACTGCTAGCTAACCTTGGCGATAAGCAGAAGCTGTCAGAAGGACATCCCTCAACTCCCGGGCATCCTGCAGGGTCAACGGGGCATCTGACTCCTCAGCTGGAGGGCTCCAAGTTTTCAGAAGCAGCAGCAGATCTTCAGAGGCCCCACTCTGGGGAGAGAAGGACGATAAGAAGGTCCAAGCCTGTAACAACCCCTCCTTCTCCTGTTTCAGTCTACCCTGGCTGGACCTTGAACTTAAAGGACGTCCTGATTTTCACTCCTTCAATTTTGAGAGATAGATATCTGTGGAGCAAGGATAAAGAGAGGAAGAAAAACCTGGGGTAGTAATGATCTATTCTAGTGCACCTCTCACTAAGTATAAACCCATGAAGACACAGGGCAAGGATCATGTACGTGTAATGGTAAGAAGGCTGAGGGTGGGGAAGTGACTTCAGAAAGGTTATGAGAGTCCTAACCATATCTAACATCATTAATGTTTAAAAAGTGGTCCCAAGAGAATCCCCCAGTGAGGGACCAACCAGAACAAGGTCACCTAAAAGTCCCAGAGAGAAGCCTTCTTCTGACCACGAACCCAGCAGCCAGTCCAGCACACAAAGATATTACTGCAGCTGGGAGGGGTTAGAGAAGGAAGAGACCCTTTGATCCAGGTGAGCCAGGGAAGTGTCCCACATTACCTGGCTGCCACTCAAGGTCTGTAGCAGTAAGGTCAAGTCCCAAAGACGATCAGTGCTGAGCCAAAGGGCAGCCTGCAGGCCAGCTAGGTGGTGAAGGGCAGGTAGTAGCTCTGGTGGAAGGGAGGAAGAATGGAGGACAGAGTCCCACAGCCCTCCAAGTCCATGTTCCAGCCTTGACCCCAGCTGCTCCTGGGTCTCCAGCACTGTAGAGAACACACACATACAGCTGAGGTGGGACCTCATCTCTGCAGGAATCCAAAGGTCACAAAGGTGCTCTTGATCTGAGGAGCACATGACGGACCAGAAAAGAGCATAATCTTTTCTAATTATGATGCTTCTCTCATCCTCCTTGCAATGACTTAAATCCAGACTGAGGCTGGCAGGAGAATGGAAGGCAATCTTTAGCCCTTACCTCTCTCTAGGCCCCATTGGATATCCTGTGCCTGGTCGTCAGTGAAACCCTGGGCCAGACTCACCCTCAGGGTAATGAAGTTGCAGATAACAGTCAATTCCAAGTGGAGAAGAGGATCAGCTGCAGGGAGCCCTGGAGCAACAAATGCTGCGCTCACAGATGGCTCCTCCATAAGATACCCCAAAGAAGATCCCAACCCAGAGATCACCCCACCCCAACCAAAATGGCCTCAATAAAGAACCCACCCGTTGCAGTTTGGAAAGGGCATAAAGTTCTCCAAATTAGACTATCCTGGAAAGCACTTTTTCAAATGCTGCTGTGTGTGTGTTTACATGTGTGTGTAAGAAGGAGAGAGATTTGTCTGTACAAAGACGATTCCATTCTAGTCTTGGCTGTTCCTTAAGCAGGAACCCCTGCCCCCTGAATAATCACCTCAACCCCAGAAATGAAGAAAAACGGGTCTCTGGCTGTGGAGAAGGGGAACTGACCATCCTGGGGAAGACCCTGCTTACCCTGCAGACTATGGAGAAGTACCCTGAACCCTTCCAGTGCATCTTGAGCCAATTGCTGTCTCCTCAGAGACAGACCAGAGTCCTGAGCCACCTGCCAAGTGTGGGATGGGATGTCACTGAGGATCAGTCCTTACCTCTCCCCTTGCAACAGTGGCAAGGGGATCTTGGAAATGTCATCTCCAGTCATGTCTAGCTCTTGGGGGAAGGTCAAGCTCAGCCTCTCCCTACTGGCTGGGACGATCCCACTGCAAACCTTCTTTCTGGCTGTTTGGGGCTGCAAAGCTGGTTTGGGTCCCAGCAATCCTATTACCTTGGCTTGTCGCACTAGCTGGTCATTCTTTTCCCTCCACAGATCCAGGCAGCTGTCATGTAACATTGAAGAGTCCAGAGGGGTCCAGTGGGACGTGGTGGCCGAGGCTGGGCCCGGACACCTGGAGGGAGCTGCTGAAGGGTAAGCCTGGCCCCGCCAAAGCCCCCACCCGAGCGGGGAGGAGTCGGTGCACTTCCGCATCCACCCGCGGCTCCCTTGACTCCCCAAGGCCTTAGCCTGGGCGGCCTGCCCTTTCTGGGAGAATGGACTCTCCTTACCGCCTCTCCGGCTTCTACCATCGCCTCTTCCACCCTAGCCTCTGGCGGGCCCCGCCCGCAAAACTCTAGGCCGCGGTCGGTCGTCTCCAAGGGTAAGCTGCCGCGGGAAACTCGAAAAAAAGAGCGCTTACCTGACCAGAGAGGGAGGCTGAGGACAACTAGAGGCGGGGCCGTGTCGGGATGCGGAGGTCGTTCTGCTCGCCGCTCCGCCTGCTAGGCCTTCGCAGAGATAAGCCTTGGGAAATCTATTGCTACAGAACCCGAGGTACAGCCCTTCCCTTGCAGCCACACTGGCAGGTNCACTTGGCTCCAGCTCATTGGCTCCCGTGGTTATCCCGCTGGAAGAAACTGGCACAATGGATTGAACCCTTGTATTAGTCTAGTCCAGTCGTAGTAATAATTTGAACACCATCTTTACCAAAACTTGAGGACCCACTCTAACTCCTCTCCTTGCTCCTTCCAAACGCTGGCTCCAGCCACCCCTACTCTGGACCCTTTGACCAGCACCCCAGTTCTTAATCCACTCTACCCTATTGTCATTGCACTCTGATAACCTAAGTCCCACAGGCTTTACAGTTCCTCAGTGCTTGGAGGTACATTCTTCCTCTCACTTCTGCGTATCGATATCACCAGCTGGAGCACTTAAGTCCAGAGTGGGTCAAAAGGCAATCACAGAACACAGCAGACTCGACAGGGCCCAAAGCAGCAAGAAAATTGCAGCCTGAGACCTGAAGTCTGTAGACCCAAATTGAGAGCTACCCCTGACTGTATTCAATAGCCGGCTTTGGTGGCATGCTGATTCAATTCACTCTTCACCCACTATGCACACTGACATTTTTGACTGAGACAGTCAAATCCCAAACTGGGGAGTCTCAGAGACTGAGAGTTCTGCTTGTCGTTCCCCTCTAAGAAACATACCTGCCCTTGTCTTGAGAGGTCTCTCCAGACCATTTTCCAAACCTAACTCCACTCATTTTTTAATTGCACAGGATGAATTTGCACAGGATCCTGGGCTTTGGAGCTGTAGCTTTTAGGCAATGGTAAGGACTAAAAGCCACTGCTTCATGAGTAAGAATTCCTATAACCCTTTCTTCTACCCAGACTTCAAGCTCATGAGGTAGATGATCTTGGGAGAGCGCGTCTTAGACAACCAGCAAGCAAGTGAATAAGACAGCATTGAGCCTTCATATTTAGATATATGTAGTAGGCAGACGAGATGGATATGAGATTTTACTCAACACAAGAAAGGGGAAAACAGGGGAAAAGGTGCCATGAGCAAAGTCAATGCCTTTTTGTAAGTAGGGGTCTTCCTCTGGAACCAGAATGGTAGTAACAAGGCCAAATTTTACAGGACTATCACCAACCACTCCAATGTCAGACTTATAAGGAATGGTCAACTCCAGAAACAGAAAGACCTCCCCACAGAGAAATGGGCCACTGGGTCCCCAGCTCGGGCTCTTCAAAACATGACAGCTATATGTCAGAAGGCTCTAGCAAGGACGTCCGAAACTCTTCAAGAAGGGTTTCACGGTCAGGGGGCCGTATCCAGCTCAAACATGTTTCTAGGTACAGGGGAAGAGACCTGGAGAGCAAAAGTATAATTCCTAAGGGTGAAGGATAGGCAGAAGGCTGGACAGCCATTGCCTCCTTTTCATTCACCACCACCCAAAATAAGCCCAAAGACCCCAGGATGCCCACTGCCCCTCAGCCCCAAGCCCGCAAGCCTCAGCCTCACCATGTAGCATTATCTTGTGGCAACTTAGCTTGGGCCTCCAGTCTCCACCAGAGAGCAGTGGCCTCATCTTTCCGGTCCATCCGCCTCAGAGTCTGAAGCAGGTGAAAGGAAGCATCTTGATTACCTATAGCCCCACCCCAGAGTACAGAGCCTTAGAACTTGACGCAGTCTTAAGAATCATTTTATAAAAAGGGAAACTGAGACCTAGAGTGCATAAGTGTCTTGCCTACAGTCACACATGGAATCAGGGATACATCATTCCCAACATTCCTATCCCTGTGTACTGCTTGCCCAGGACAAAGGGCTCAGATGACCCTGCTCTTGCCCAACACATTCCCAATATAGTTATGGTTATTGTCTGAGGACACTGGGAAGACTGGGGAACTCTTAAGAAGCCTTCATACACTCCTATATTAAGTCTTGTATATGTCTTCACACCTGGGAACATCCCTAGGTATATACTACACAACCCCATTCACCCCTCCTATCCAGAATATCACTCTTCTATTAATCCCTAAGTACCTCCCCCATTTGGCCTGTCCTTGTGCATTTGTGCACAGCTGATGTCATGCAAGTATACAAACCTGGGCACATCTGCACACTGAGGAGGAAGTCCTGTAGGGCTTTGGTATCCTGATCACTGGCCACCCATTCCAGCCCACGACTAATCAAGGCAGCTGCCCGAAGCTGTTGTAGTGCCACATCTGATGTACATCCATGATCAGAGTTGGAAGCAGACCCTAGGGATCACCCCCAAAGTCAAGAAATATGTTCTCAGTCACATAGTCACCAAACCCCATGTCTCCCTCTATTGCTTTTTGTGTCTGGAGTCCCTTTGTCTTAAATCTCTTAGTGGGCTGGGACACATGAAAAGGGGACTAAAACCCACCATCACCACTTCCAGGAAGGAGGAAATAAATTATGTCTAGATCACCTTGTCCTTTGTCTTTAGGTGTGGCCCGGTAGAGCAGCTCAAGGCACCTGAAATGGGACATAGATCAGAGATGATGAGCGATGAGGAGGCATCCTCAGAAACCCTGGGATAAGTAGATAAGATGGAGCTCACCAACTCAGGTCTCAATCAGAAAATTATCCCTCCACCCTTCTCCTAGGGCCCTGGTTGGCTTCTTGGCTCACCGGCTAAATTCACTAATTGCTTCTTTTTTGGCCCCCAGGTGCACCCAGGCTTGTCCCTGAAGCAGGTAGGTGGCAGAGACCCAGAGTGGGCAGTGTGGTGACTCCTTGGATCCTTTTCTGACGTCTTCCCACAGCCGGGACATCTTGGGAAGCAGAGATGATGTGCGGCTGAGCAGCTCCTCACATACAGTCAAGGCATTCTGGGCTCGGCCTGCCTGGATCAGGGCTGCTGCTGACTCCAAGAACACCTCAGGCACACAACGCCCTGGGGGGAAGGCGGCTGGGGAGAACTGGGGTGGGAGGAGAGTACACCCTCATGAAGAGACATGAACGAATACTCCCAACCTCTTCACCAGGCTCTGGTACCATGCAGAGACCACCCATTGCTCGCTGCCCTGGACCCCTTGCTCTGGAAACCTTCCTGACCCCCAGATTGGACAGGACAGCAGAGGGAAAAACAGAAAACAGCAATCCTGCTCTACTCCAAAGAAGACTCCAACACTCCCACCTCATTGCAAAGAACCCTGAAGCCATGCCTACCTTTGACTCTGAGCCATCCAGCAACAGGGCCAGCAGATCCAAGTAATGCTCGGCAGCATCCTCTGCCCTGAGAAGTCATAGTCCATGAGCCTTATCTTAGGCCCTAATAGGGACTTCCAAGGGCTCTTAGCTAACCAAGGACCCTGGAGAGTAGAAAGGGTGGGGTTGGGGCTCCAATCCTGGCTCAGTATAGATCTAACTTCCTTACAGAATGGACTGGGGAAGAGACATAAGAGTTTTAAAGATAAAACAAGGTTAGTCTGGTTCGGGTCCAGCAGAAAGGCAGGAGGCTCAGGAATGGGGAACCTGTGTCCTGTCTCTGACTCACCCATCCACACCCCTCACTACTTTCAAGAATAGAGACAGAGGTACATCCCAGGGGAGGCATCAAAAATGGGAAAATTAGCTCAGGTGAGCAGTATGGCAGAACCTCACCTTCCCGTCTGTAGACATCGGCTTGCTAGCAGGTATTTGGCCTGGCTCTGTGTGCCACAGTGAAGGGATGAGGCTGGATCAGGTTGCGGGAGTAGCAACTCTACCTCAATGAGGAGCTGGGGGGCTTCAGAACTGTGAGTGATACTTAAGGCCTAAAAGGCACAAGAAGAAACTGTTATCTATAATCTCTGAGAGCCATACTTCCTTCTATTTATACCTTGACTAGTTCTCCCAATGCAAGCATCTCAGCATCCCCGTATCTTCACCTGGCATAGTGTCTTACCTCAACCAGCAGCTCCAGACTCTCCAGCTCTGCTGCTGTGTTCCCCAGTTGCCGATATAGCCTGGAGGCCTCCAAAAGTGGGGGGCCCCAGGTTGACCCATGTTTCAAGGCTTCAACCAAATACAGCAGACCTCTCTGTGGATTTCCCTAGAAGGGTGAGAGGACACAAGCATCAGGTAACCTCACAAAGGAGAAAGTCGTCCATAATGCCCATGGTTTCCCCAACCCACCCTGTCTTTACCATCTTACGGAGACAAGTCCCCAGGGCTGTGTACACCTGGACCAACACAGGCCGTGGGCACAGACCTGAGGCTGCTTCATGCAAGCAACTCAGTGCCCTGGGCAGGCTCCCTGTGATCAGCTCCTGGAGGCCTAAGGGCAATCAGGGTGTGACTTAGAGAAGCCCATAGAGCAGGGGACTTGATAGGGAACAAGAGCACAGGGAGGCTCTGATGAGCTAAATGAGACACGACAGGAAAGGCCGAGCCAAAGGACCTCTTAAAACATGCAGTGGGGAGGAAGGGATGAGCCAGACTGCTAGCTAACCTTGGCGATAAGCAGAAGCTGTCAGAAGGACATCCCTCAACTCCCGGGCATCCTGCAGGGTCAACGGGGCATCTGACTCCTCAGCTGGAGGGCTCCAAGTTTTCAGAAGCAGCAGCAGATCTTCAGAGGCCCCACTCTGGGGAGAGAAGGACGATAAGAAGGTCCAAGCCTGTAACAACCCCTCCTTCTCCTGTTTCAGTCTACCCTGGCTGGACCTTGAACTTAAAGGACGTCCTGATTTTCACTCCTTCAATTTTGAGAGATAGATATCTGTGGAGCAAGGATAAAGAGAGGAAGAAAAACCTGGGGTAGTAATGATCTATTCTAGTGCACCTCTCACTAAGTATAAACCCATGAAGACACAGGGCAAGGATCATGTACGTGTAATGGTAAGAAGGCTGAGGGTGGGGAAGTGACTTCAGAAAGGTTATGAGAGTCCTAACCATATCTAACATCATTAATGTTTAAAAAGTGGTCCCAAGAGAATCCCCCAGTGAGGGACCAACCAGAACAAGGTCACCTAAAAGTCCCAGAGAGAAGCCTTCTTCTGACCACGAACCCAGCAGCCAGTCCAGCACACAAAGATATTACTGCAGCTGGGAGGGGTTAGAGAAGGAAGAGACCCTTTGATCCAGGTGAGCCAGGGAAGTGTCCCACATTACCTGGCTGCCACTCAAGGTCTGTAGCAGTAAGGTCAAGTCCCAAAGACGATCAGTGCTGAGCCAAAGGGCAGCCTGCAGGCCAGCTAGGTGGTGAAGGGCAGGTAGTAGCTCTGGTGGAAGGGAGGAAGAATGGAGGACAGAGTCCCACAGCCCTCCAAGTCCATGTTCCAGCCTTGACCCCAGCTGCTCCTGGGTCTCCAGCACTGTAGAGAACACACACATACAGCTGAGGTGGGACCTCATCTCTGCAGGAATCCAAAGGTCACAAAGGTGCTCTTGATCTGAGGAGCACATGACGGACCAGAAAAGAGCATAATCTTTTCTAATTATGATGCTTCTCTCATCCTCCTTGCAATGACTTAAATCCAGACTGAGGCTGGCAGGAGAATGGAAGGCAATCTTTAGCCCTTACCTCTCTCTAGGCCCCATTGGATATCCTGTGCCTGGTCGTCAGTGAAACCCTGGGCCAGACTCACCCTCAGGGTAATGAAGTTGCAGATAACAGTCAATTCCAAGTGGAGAAGAGGATCAGCTGCAGGGAGCCCTGGAGCAACAAATGCTGCGCTCACAGATGGCTCCTCCATAAGATACCCCAAAGAAGATCCCAACCCAGAGATCACCCCACCCCAACCAAAATGGCCTCAATAAAGAACCCACCCGTTGCAGTTTGGAAAGGGCATAAAGTTCTCCAAATTAGACTATCCTGGAAAGCACTTTTTCAAATGCTGCTGTGTGTGTGTTTACATGTGTGTGTAAGAAGGAGAGAGATTTGTCTGTACAAAGACGATTCCATTCTAGTCTTGGCTGTTCCTTAAGCAGGAACCCCTGCCCCCTGAATAATCACCTCAACCCCAGAAATGAAGAAAAACGGGTCTCTGGCTGTGGAGAAGGGGAACTGACCATCCTGGGGAAGACCCTGCTTACCCTGCAGACTATGGAGAAGTACCCTGAACCCTTCCAGTGCATCTTGAGCCAATTGCTGTCTCCTCAGAGACAGACCAGAGTCCTGAGCCACCTGCCAAGTGTGGGATGGGATGTCACTGAGGATCAGTCCTTACCTCTCCCCTTGCAACAGTGGCAAGGGGATCTTGGAAATGTCATCTCCAGTCATGTCTAGCTCTTGGGGGAAGGTCAAGCTCAGCCTCTCCCTACTGGCTGGGACGATCCCACTGCAAACCTTCTTTCTGGCTGTTTGGGGCTGCAAAGCTGGTTTGGGTCCCAGCAATCCTATTACCTTGGCTTGTCGCACTAGCTGGTCATTCTTTTCCCTCCACAGATCCAGGCAGCTGTCATGTAACATTGAAGAGTCCAGAGGGGTCCAGTGGGACGTGGTGGCCGAGGCTGGGCCCGGACACCTGGAGGGAGCTGCTGAAGGGTAAGCCTGGCCCCGCCAAAGCCCCCACCCGAGCGGGGAGGAGTCGGTGCACTTCCGCATCCACCCGCGGCTCCCTTGACTCCCCAAGGCCTTAGCCTGGGCGGCCTGCCCTTTCTGGGAGAATGGACTCTCCTTACCGCCTCTCCGGCTTCTACCATCGCCTCTTCCACCCTAGCCTCTGGCGGGCCCCGCCCGCAAAACTCTAGGCCGCGGTCGGTCGTCTCCAAGGGTAAGCTGCCGCGGGAAACTCGAAAAAAAGAGCGCTTACCTGACCAGAGAGGGAGGCTGAGGACAACTAGAGGCGGGGCCGTGTCGGGATGCGGAGGTCGTTCTGCTCGCCGCTCCGCCTGCTAGGCCTTCGCAGAGATAAGCCTTGGGAAATCTATTGCTACAGAACCCGAGGTACAGCCCTTCCCTTGCAGCCACACTGGCAGGTCTGTCTCGTCTCCGCCGCCGCCGGAGGGCAGGTTCGCGCGACGCATGTTGGGAGTCGTAGTCCTCCGCAAAGCCGCCACAGACAGTCTAGCCCCGCTTAAAGTACCTCCAAAAGGAACTGACTCGAGCCCAGGCTCTCGGTAATCAGCCCAGCCTTTCTCTGCTTTCCGTGGAGCGCCAACACTCTCACCAGTCTCCTCCGACTGGTCGGCAGCGCGGCCCGGTGCTTGTGCAGCCTGCACTGCTCAAAGGTACCTACCTTTCAACAAATGGGAGTTAGGAAAAAAAACTCCCAAACCGCGACTCTTACCGTACATAAAACCAACTCAAAATGGGAAGTCGAACTTCATTAAAATTAAAAACTCTTATGCCTAAGAGATACCATCAAGAAAAATTAAAAGTCACAAAGTGAGAGAAATTATTTGCAAATCATACACCTCGTAATGGACTTGTATCCACAATATGTGATTCTCAAAGCCCAATAATAAAAACTTTTTTAAACCATTTTAAGATAGGCAGAAAAAAATGAATAGATATTTTACCAAAAAAGATACACAGATGGCTAAAAAGCACATAAACAGATAAGCATCATTAGCCATTAGGGGAATACAAATTAAAACCATGAGATACCACTAGGTACATACATATATAGAATGGCTACAATAAAAAATGCCAAAGTTGATGATGATGTGGAGAGACTGAAACCCTAATATATCGCCGGTGATTCTCAAAGCCTAATAATAAAAACTTTTTAAAACCATTTTAAGACAGGCAGAAAAAAATGAATAGACATTTTACCAAAAAAGATACACAGATGGCTAAAAAGCACATAAAAAGATAAACACCATTAGCCATTAGGGAAATACAAATTAAAACCATGAGATACCATTAGGTACATACATATATAGAATGGCTACAATAAAAAAATGCCAAAGTTGATGATGTGGAGAGACTGAACCCCCATATATTGCTGGTGGGAATAAAATGGTATAATTACCTTGCAAAAGTTGGGCAGTTCCTTAAAAAGTAAATCATAAGCTTACCTAGGACTCATCAATTCCACTCTAAGGAATCCATGCAGGAAAAATGAAAACATATGTCTACCCCAAGACTTGAATGTAAATGCTCATAGCAACTACAAAAATATTCGTAATAACTAAAAAACTAGAAACAATCAAAATGTCCATCAGTTGATCATAGCCACACAATGGAGTATGACTCAGCAATAAAAATGGGCAAAATGTGATACATATGTCAACACGAATGAATCTCAAAAACATTATTTTAAGTCACAGAAGCCAGACCAAAAAGCCACAAGTTGCATGATTGTATATGTATGAAATGTCCAGAGAAGACAAACTTACAAAGACAGAAAACAGATCAGTGGCCTGAGTGGGACTGGGGATTGATTATAAATCAAGTGTAGGCAATTTGTGGGAGTGATGAAAATTTTATAAAACTCATTGTAGCACTTGAAAATAGTTTTTTATATGTAACACAAAAAGCACAACAAAAAAAAATAGGATGAATTAAACTTCATAAAAATTTTTAAAATTTGAAAATAAAAACATGAAAAAAATTAATTCCTGACTGAACAGTTCCAGAGTGAAGGAAATTAAAAAGACATGACAAGTACAATACGTGATCTTAAGCTGAATCCCATATTAATGAGTAAAAACTGCTATGAACATTTTATTGTGTCAGCTGATGAAATTGGAATACTGATGATAAATTTAAGTATCATACTATGTAAATTTAACTTAAGTTGGTAAATGTACTGGGGAGTTTATAAGAGAATATCCTTACTCAAGGAGGCAGAAGGGTAAAGGGCCATGTCGTCAACATGTAACTGTCTCTCAAAAGGTTTGGAAAAATGATTTTGAGGTGGAGATGTGTGTGGTGTGGTGCGCAATCACTTAAGAACATGAACAAAGGTTAAGGCAAGTGGGGCAAAATATTGACAGTATGTTAATAAAATGCCTACAGATATTCTTTAAGTTTTTTTAAAATTTTGTACTTCAGATGATGCTATCAACAAAATGAAGACAACCCACAGAATGGATATTTGCAAATCATATATCTGAAAAGTGACTTGTATCTAGAATATATAAACAATGCATATAACTCAATAATAAAAAGACAACCCAATTAAAAACAGATAAGGATCTGAATGGACAGTTCTCCAGTAAGCACAAGAAAAGATGCTCAACATCATTTGTCATCAAGGACATCAAACCAGTACCACAATGAGATATCACTTCATACCCACTAGGATGGTTAAATTCAAAGATAGGTAGTAAGTATTGGCATAGATGTATAGTAATTGGTATCCTCATACACTGCTGATGGGAATATAAAACGGTGCAGCAGCTTTGGAAAAAGGACTGGCAGTTCCTCAATAAGCTAAACATAGATTTACCACATGACCTAGTAATTCCACAATATAGCACTAGGTATAAACCCAATAAAAATTAAAATATGTCCAAACAAAACTTGTATATGTATGTTCACAGCAGCATTATTCAAAATAACCACAAGGTGCGAATTACCCAAATGTCCACGAGTGGATGAATGGATAAACAAAATGTGATATATCCACACAATGGAATATTATATGGCCATAAAGAGCCAAAGTACTGATACATGCTGCAACATGAACTTTGAAAACATCAGTCTGAGTGAAAGAAGCCAGACAGAAAAGGCCACATATTATATGATTCCATTTATATATTACATCTGGATGAGGCAAATACAGTCAGAAAGTAGATTAGTGGTTGTCCACAGGTAGGGATTAGGATGGAGAGGGCTGGAGGGTTATAGGAAGAGTATTTTCTTTTGGGGTTGATTAAAATATTCCAAGACTGTCATGATGGTTGTACAACTCTGAATATACTAAAAGTCACTGAAGCGTAAACTTTAAATGGGTCAATTTTATAGTAAATTGTACCTTGATAAATAAAGCTCTGGAAAAAAGAAATGTTAGTGTGGAATGGACTCTTTGATGTAAGATAAAAAGCAGAGGTAAGAAATTTTAATAGTGTAATGTATCTTTCTCTGAAAGGATCTTGTAGATAGACCAGGAGAAAAGGACATAGTGATTGGCAGAGCTGCAGATTACCTTAGGCTCCAGGGAAGGGGACTCCCTGCAAAAACAAACAAACAAACAAACAAACAAATGAACAAAGGCAGGTAGGGGAATCTAACTAGGACAGGGTAAGGGACTGGGGTCTGAAACCCTTCCCATGGATGTTAGGGATAAAACAGAAGGGGTCTTAATTTTTTCTCACAGAGGCACTGTCTGCTTCCTAGATGCTTGGAAGTTGTGTCCACCAGATTGAAGGAGGGGAAAGGATTTCTTCCTAATTAATCTAACAGTCTAGCTGGGGCCTAACTTCTCTTCTTGCATTATTAAACCTATTCCTGCCAGGGCTGCCAATATCCCATCCTCTAGTTGCTTGAAACAGTACACACTTTTCATCATCTTTCTATTTGATTTCTGTAGCACTAGAGACTTGGCCACTAATAATCAGAACTTTTCCTTTAGCTACCACAGTAGTGGATGCCTTTACTTCACAATCACAGCTACTCAGCTTTTCTTCTTTCTGCAAATTAACAGTAAACTGTCCCAGTTTAATATGTATTCTCTTCAATCTCCTCCTATCCTGAGCACTCTCACATCTCAGGCCCCAGTCCTCACCCTACTCCTCGAAGCCTTTCCCCCCATCCTTTGATGGACATTTCCCCAAGGATTTCATGACACAGGAATAATGAGGTGTATGGAAGGCACAGGAGACATGCATGAAGAGTAGTAGATTCAGTTTTGGCTTCAAGTCAGGAATAATCAATGGGATAAGGTAGAATGCTGTGTACGATAGGCAAGTAGGTCTGATAAAAAGCAACATACGTTTGGGAAACAAGGAAGGCCTAGTGAAAGGCAAAGGGTGTTTGGAGAGAAAGGACACAGTAGAGGAGGGGACACAGCACTATTTGGGGCTTGAGATAGTGGAAGTCTGTGTACTCCATGATGCCTGGGCTTGTCTTTTCAGCCATCTCTTCTATCAGCCAAAGCATAAGAATTTAAGAAAGTATGTTGCATGGCAAAGAACATGGAAGGTAGGATAAGAGAAGTGATTTGGAAAGAGGTGGGGAAGTGAATTCAGATGACTCAATCACTTCCCACATGTTCTCAGGTGCAGCCAGGTCGGCATTAGATGGCTGATCCCATCTGTGCCTGGTGGGAGGGGAGACTGATCATCTCCCTAATCCCTATAGGACAGTGGGGGCTCCCCCGCATTTCAGACACACATATTTACATTATTATTTTATTCCACTTTAGAGACCACCCCATGCATCCAAAGCAGGAGTTAGGGATCAGGCTACACTATAATTATGGATTATAAAATAACGAAGTCCCAGATGCCAGTAGCTCTTGGCTGCATGGTGGTAAGAAATGTGGCTAAGCCTCTCTTGCAGATGATACAGCACCCATACAGGCCAGAATGGACTGTCCTCCAGTTCTCCCCATAGCCAGGAGCCAGCACATGCAGCCTGGACTACCTCTGCTGGGCCAGAACTAGCCGCCTGAACCAGGAGCTCACAGCACCATCCACTCGCATCACCAAAGCTATGCCCAGAAAAAGTCCCACGCTGCTCACAATGAAGCCTACTGCCTCAAAAATGAACCTGCAAAGAGAAGCAGAGAATCTCAGGGGACACTGAGAGTAGGTCTAGAACCTTTTGCCTCATGAGGCAAACTTTGTCCACCCTGGATGTTCATTTCTTTGCTCCAAGCTTCACCGTTCCCAATATCAATAGTTCTCAAGCAAATCCACTCACTTGGGGGCAAACACCTTCCAGACCATGAGATGCCGGCGGAGGATGCAGGCTGCCAAGGCACATGCCAAAATCTAAGGGAGAAGAGGAGGGGTCAAGTTACTTGGGAAAGGGAGAAGGAAGTGGGTCAAAGAGAGAGTCACTGTAGACCTCTGTGAAGAATGGGAGGAGTAGGAAAGTAGTGTGTGTCAGTGGAAAAATCTCTGGGCTAGGAGTTAGGAGACCTAATTGTTTTCCAAGCCCCACTGTAACTCACTGTGATCTTGGGCAAGCACCACCCATCTGTGTTGCTTACACTCAGGCTGGCTCTGCCTCCCAGAGTGGAGGGAAATGCCAGAGTCACACCCTCTGCCACTGAAGACAAGGACCCATGACCACAGCTGGGACAAACTCCTGGACATCATCTCAGCTTTTCCAGTCCTCCCACTAATGAAGTAACCCCCAAACACAACCAGCAAGATCCAGATCTAGCTTGCAGAGAGGAAATAATCTAAGACTAGGAATAAGGAGTCCCATGTCAGGTCTCAGTACAGCCATTTGAGGCCACTAGCTTTGGGCAACCACTTTGCTTATTTGTATCTCAGTCAAGGCTCTCTCCCAGGGCTTTGGCAAAGTATGAAACAAAGATTAAGTGATGTACAGAAGAGAAAAGGTTACTAACTCCATGATTCCCCTGCACACACCTGAATACCAAGGACAAAGAGGTACTTGAGGCTCAGTTGCAGAAGCGCTGCATTGAAGTGGTGCGGTGCATCCCGGAGCCGCATCTCCATTAGTGGCTCCTCCTCCTCCTCATGCATGACTCTGGCCTCAGCTTCATCCCCTGGGGGGTGCTGCCTTTTCCGGGGCCCTTGACTGTCACATAGGAAAGGCCAGAGCAGGAGCAATGGACAACCTACTGCCTCAGAGGAAGGTGGGGCTAGAATCAATGGAGGATTCCGGGACCAGGCCACCCTGGCCCCTAACTATTCTAGTTGTTAGCACAGGCCAATGGGTAGCAAAGATCCAACAAAATCACATCTCCCCACTCAAACCCATGTATTTTCTCTCCTTCCATAAAACCAGAGTAAACAGTGGAAGCAAAGGAGGAGTGAGGAGGTACCTGCAAAGAGGAGATGGGAGGCAAAGGTGTTGGCTCCCACCAGCAAAGCAGGCAGCCAGGTGGAGGAGCCATGACCCTCTGGGAATCCCACGAAAGCTGCATGCCAATGGATAGCTGGAAAGACAGGCTGATGGCCTGTGGAGTAGAAGGTCTGTGTGGCCATGAGGGCCCAAGCAGAGACTGCCTGCCATGGCACAGTAAAAGGACCTAGAGGAAGAAATAAACCTTTTTAGTCACATCCCACTCCTGAATTCATAGCCTGCTGCCGCAGATCACATATGCCTACTACTTTAGTGCTGAATTTCATACATGTATACACTACCCATGCCCATCACCCCAACCTCCTTACGGTCCATATTCTGCTATTCTAATTCTCTCTGTGGCATAAAGCTCCATTTCTCTGAACCCCAATGAAAGAGGCTGAATGACCAATCTCTTTCTCATATACACACAGCTCTCTATCGTATTATATGCTCATAATTCACCACTCCCATCACTGGAAAAATCAGGGAATGTGCTCATGAAGATGCAGCATTTCCTAAGAAATGAGTTTTGGAGTACCTCTTGTCTCCCTCTTCCTGAGCTTTGCTGGCCCCCAAAGCCTGATACATAAAAGCAACCCAACTCCAAGCCCAAGTGCATGCATACAGGGAGGGACCAATTAGCTTGGCTAGCAGATAAGAGATAGAACTTCAGGAAGACCTTCCCAACTGTGTAAGGGCTGAGGCCCTGTGTCAAGGTGAAGAACCTGTGGAGCAACTCCTCCCTGGAAATAAGAGGGGTTGAACTCACATCACTACTGCCCTTGGATGAATCAGGGCTGAGGTATGTATTTACCAGGGGTGGTGATGGGTATCCCAGCAGCAAGCAGATGCAGGAGAAGGAAGCTCTGCAGAAACAGAAGCAGGAACACAAGGCTAATGCGCTCTGCATGCAACAGCAGAAGTGGGAAGGCCAAGAGAGTGAGCGCTGTGACCATAGCAGCTGAGTAGACGCTCCCCAGCTGATAAGCAGCCACTGTCAAGGGGCCCTGTGATTTGGTCCTCTCTAGTCGGTCCCGGAACTCCTCCTGCATGTGTCGGTAGATTTGAGGAACTACATAATCCAAGTCAGCCTGAGAAGTTGGGGGGCCTGAGAAGGGAGTAAGGACAGTCCTAGTCCTTGGAGCACCCATTGCAGCCTTTACCAGCACAGTCACAGGCCTCCAGAGCAGTAGCACAAGCCCAGAAGCAGCCAGCCCTGCCACAGCCCGAGGTAGCACAACTGATGCCCCCGCAACCAGGGCCCGGAGACGTGGGGGTGCTTCATCTGCCCCTGAAGCCAATGCCCAGTAGGCAGCAGTGCCCAGTACCATCAGGGGCAGCCCCCAGCGTATGAAGAGGACAGGGGGCTCCGGGCTCTTGAGATTACTATAGTGGTGAAGCCACAGGCGCACAGCAGCTAACAGGGCTATCAGAGCCCCCACGCAAGCTCCATACCACAAATTTTTGGTTCGACTACCCACCATGGATGCCAAAGGACTCAGCCAGGGAGAGGAGCAGCAAGCAGGTGTCTCTTCAGGGCAGCGATGAAAGAGGCCAGCTAGCCTTATACATAAAAGCAACCCAACTCCAAGCCCCAGGGCATGAACACCATTGTGCCGTGGGGAGTCTGGTGGGGCCAAGAAGCCAAGGCGGGGTATTGTGAGTAGCTTAGGTGACAGCAGCTTGCCCTCCCAGTGAAGCTGGGCAACCAGGAGCAAGATAAGTGAACCCAAAAGGAATGGGGTGGCCCTGGCCTCAGCTACAACAAAACTATCAGAAAAGAAAGCAGCAAAGCGAATGATCAGGAGAAACAGGACAGGCCCAGGCATGGGAAGGAGGGCTGCCAGTGGCCTGTTAGACTCCCAGCCAGCCCAGCCTTTCCACAGAAGAGGCAGGAGGGTGCCCACTGCAGCCACAGCCCCTAGAACCACTGGATCCAGCTTCAGTCCAGCAGCTGTCAGGAATCCAGCACATGCTACAGCCCCAGCCAGACCCCAGGCCATGGGTATTAAGAAAAGAGGGCAGAAGTTGAAGCCTGGGGATGTTGCCCACTGGGATGCCAGCAGGCACAGAAAGCAGGCAGCAGCCAAGAGAGCAGTGCCGCCTGCCATGTGGACCAGGGAGAAACGAGCCCAAGATTCAATGCACATGGCTCGAACTCCCCGCAGGAACTGCTGCAGCTCAGTAATCACAGTCTGTAGTGCTGCCTCAGCCCCCTGGGGGCTCTGCAGAAGACGCTGGTAGTCAGCAGAGGCCTTGGAAAATAGGTTCTGCAGTCGATGAAGCTCCTTAACTTGGAGGTCCTGAGCAGCAGCTGAGTAGGTGTGAAGAAATCGGGACACCTGGCAGAAAAGGTCAGAGGCCAAGGGAACAGGTCAGAGATATAAACTGGGACAGAGCAAGAATAGGTACCAAAGCAGGTATCTGGGAATCAGGGACCCAAACTCTGTCCAGGACAGGGGGAAGGGAGGGATAATGGGAGGATATTTCTATGGAAGGTGGGATTAAGACTGAACTAAGGACAGTGGAGTGGGTCATTATGCTTCTCCCATGCCTACCCTAGCTGTTATGTGGAAGCCCAACCCATTACTTACCTGCTGAGCATTTAAATGGAGAGCTGAGGCCTGGGCAACAGCAGAAGAGTAAGGTTGCGAGCCTTCGACCTCTGAGAATAGCTCAGCCATCACCTCCCCAATGTTCCCAAATGGAATGGGCAGGCCTAGCAGCAGGGCCAGTGTAGGCACTAGGCTGACTTGAGGAACTACCTCTGGCTCCTAAAGAACAAGGACAGGGTCAATAGGTTCACCAGAGTTAAGGTCAGTGTTTGTGATGGAAGACATTGGGGCCTACATAGGACATGAGAGTGGGGGATGCCTCGATCATGAACTTATGGGCCTAAAATGAAGGCATCCACAAGGATGCTGTAATCCTGACGTGGGCTGAATCCCAGGAGACCAAACAAAGCACACCTCAGGCCTCACCTCTGGTGGGGTGCTGGGGAAGAGGGCTGTTGGACTGTACAGAAAAAGCGCAGCTGAGATCTCCAGTTCACTGTCCCCTCCATGGTCCCCACTCATGGTCATCCCATGGTCCCCAATCACCACCAGCAGTGTGTCATTCTCCAGACGCTCCACAAGTCGTCTGGGGCCAAGAAATGTGTCAGAGAGTAAGGATGGATAAACATTTTTCTCAGGAACCCATTCCGCCCAGCTGTAACTTCCATTAGTAGAGCCTATATGTCTGGCAAAGAGACACCTCTTTAGTTATGACCCTATTGCCTCAGTTACACGAGTTACTCAAGACAGATAAGGCCCCTATCTTCAGAAAAAAGCCTATACAAGACAGAATTCAACTAGGAAACAGGCCCCAAGATAAGGACTTTTTCTCTTGGTATCATTTATCCTGAGATTTTCAGACACAAACCCACTCCCCCAGCCCATGACCCACACTCACTGGATCACCTGGTCCATCTGGCTAAGTTTCTTGGCCATTTCAGGGTGGTAAGGGCCATGCTTGTGGCCACAGTGATCCACACCCAGGAAGTGAGCAATCAGCACGTCCCATTCACCACTGTCCACTGTGAAGGGAAGAACACTGAGCACAGGGGACTAAGGCCCACTTCTCAATCCCAGCCAGGCTGTCAGTCCTCTGTCCAGGGACAGACCATTGCACCCATGGGAGACTTGGAATTGGTGACCTGAAGCAGCCTCCCCAGCTCCCAGTCTTAGGCCTGCCTCTGGCGCCATGCTCACTGGTCGGGTAAAGGTGTTCCAGGATGCCATTGTCCACTGTGTGTAGGTCTCTGACATTGAAGGATGGGAAGAAGAAAGCTTGGGAGAAAGCTCCAGGGAAAAGATCTTTCCACGTGTCATCTCCCATGAAGACCACACGCCTTCCTGTAGGGACATGAGAGCAGGTCACAGTCTGAGTAGGTATCAGGGCAGGGGAAAAGAAACAAGGAAGCCCTGTGAAGACCCATCAAAAATCCCAACCATTCATTCTAAGGCATAGCAGTTCCATCCAGCAACTCTTTATTGTTCGTGGCCTAAAACTTTCTGCCAGGAAGCTCTCCCTGATAACCATACTTCTCCCAGACCTACACTCCTTGTTACTACAAAAGGGTCTGTATTCTCAGTCCCTGGCTAACTCTGCTGCTGTTTTTACTGTGTATGTCTTACTTTTTCCAAATCAGTTAGTGGACAGTGCCTGGACCCTCTGCTCTCTTCTCCACACTTGTGAAGTTACCAGACCCACATCTTTTCCTGTCTCTCCACACCCCTTAGAGCTCCCAAAAAAGTAAAACACCCCATGCAGATTAGAAACTGCAGAAGAACAAAGCCTGGACCTGCACTCCCTGCATGGCCCTGGGCTCTTTCTCTTCTTACCCTTCTACAGCATAGTCAAGCATCCAGCTGGGCACCCAAAGTTCTAGTTCTCTGATTTCTAAAGAATAAATTTGCCAAGGTATTCTTGGTCTCTAAAGAGGCCCAGACTAACCTGTACTGGTGAACTGTTTAATGAGATTGTCTTCCACTATAGCATAGCTGGCAAAGTTACTGCCAGCATCAACAAAGGTAGGCAGCGAGCCAGTGGTGAGTGCCTTAAGGCGCTGCATGGTGGTGGTGGGCGGATCAGCCTTGGATTGGTAGAGCCTGGCATGGTGGGGCTGAATCTCCAAGATCCTCTGTAAGGTGCCCAGTTTTCCCAGGAAGGGCAGTAAGACAGGAGGCTCCCCAGAAGCATGTGAGTGCTGGGGCTGGGTGAAGTCAAATCGCAGAGCATCTATCAGCACCAATACAACCCGGGAGAACCGAGGAGCCATCCAGCAGGCCCCAGGCTCCTGTCGACTCCCCCATGGCAGGGATCCTGGGCCTGGGGGCTCTTGGCAGCTGCTATGGTTGGTGAGCTCCAAACGGGTAAGCAGGAAGCCACTGGTGAAGAGGGCAATGCCCGCGTAGAAGAGGAAGCAGACCCAGGCCAGGGAGAGCAGCACTGAGATCTTCTGCATCCTGGTGGTGGCGAGGGAGGGAATTCATCACTGTGGGGCAAAAAAATAGTGGATATTCTGGTCCCTCAATATAAAGCCCAGCTAGAATCACTTTCTCTTGGAAGCCCTCCTGAATATAAACAGTCCCAGAGCCAACCCAATGCAATACTCCTCTCCACCAGTGTTCCTGAAGGTGAGGTCCACAGACTATGGGCATCAACCCGGAGCGGCTGTTTAAAATGTTCATTTCCAGACCCCACCCCAGATCTACTCAATCAAGAACTTAGCGGGTGGAGCGTTAAGAATTTGCATACGTACTCGAGGAGAGCCTAATGAAAAACAGTCCACGAGCGACACTTATTCCAAGTGGTAGACTGTTCTCTGAGTTTCTCCTCTTCTCTCCTTGTCAATCAACACCCCTTAGGTGGCCAGGACTCGTAGCCGCAGAGAAACCCAGGTCAGGCAGACGGCGCCGCCTGACGGGGACCGAGGGGACGAAGGGGAGAAATCATTCCGTTTCCGGACGGCCAGGTTTGCCTGAAGAGGTGCGACCTCCCCAGCGCAGCAAGGCAAAGACGTGGGGTCTAGAGCCGGTTAGCCTCGCCGGAACCCAGACGTCCAAGCTCTACCTTCTCCGGTGGCTACCAGGCCTCCGCCTGGGCACTCTGACCCCGGTACTGGGCACGCTATGCTACAAACTGGGGAGCTAACCCCTTACTGAAGGGAGAGGGCAGTGGGGAACGTCCAGGCGGCTCTCGGAGAGCCTAGCTTACCTTGACCGGCTCGCGGAAGCGCGGCGGTGTCTCCTGCGACCTGGCACCACAGATGTGCGCGCGGCAGACAGAGCGGCCCGCGGGGGCTCGATCGCCATCTGCTGGCGCCTTCGGGGGAGTTCGGCAAGGAGCGCGGGGCTGGCCAGGGATGGAGCGTTTGGTGAAAGATTATAGTAATTTAGGAGAATTGGGGACAAGGGACTAAGCTAGAATTCAGGGAACCACTGTCCCATTCTTGATTAAGACTAGGAGTTAAGCCTCTGGAATCAAACTTAATTTGAATCTTACCTCTGCCACTCACTGACATTATTGGGCATTAACTCACCCGTAAAACAGGGATAAATGATATTTATTTTCTCCTTTTTGCTTAGCTGACTCCAACTGATAGATTTTTTTTTATTCCTCTTCTCCAAGTCTTTCAATGGCTCTTACAACTCAATAATAAAATTTAAACAATTCAATTTAAAAATGGGCAAAGAATCCAAATAAACATTTCTAAGATATATAAATGACCAACAAACACGAAAAGATGCTCAGCATCATTAGTCAGCAGGGAAATGCTGGCAGTGCCACTTCAAACCCACTAGGATGGCTGTAATAGAAAAGACAAGTATTGGTGTGGATGTGGAGAAATTTGACCCCTCATATGCTACTGTTGGGATTGTAAAATGGTGCATCATCTTTGGAAAACAGTCTGGTACTTCTCTAAAAGGTTAAACATATAGTTACCACATGATTCAGCAATTCCAATCCTAGATGTATACCCAAGACCAAAACATGTCCACATAAGGACTTGCACATAAAGTTTCATAGTAGCATTACCTATAAGAGCCAAAAGGTGGAAACAATGGAAATGGCCTTACTGATGAATGGATAAACAAAACATGGTATAATCTATAGAATATCTATAGAATATAATTATGCCATAAAAAGGAATGAAATACTGCTACATGCTACTGTAATGGATGAGCCTTAAAAACATCATGCTGACTGAAAGAAGCCAATCACAAAATAGCATGTTATATTTTTCCATTTATGTGAATACATAAATCTACAGAGACAGTAAATTAGTGGTTGCCTAGGGCTGGGGGAATGGGAGTAACTGCTAATGGTGGGATAGGTATGCAGAGTGGTGATAAAATTGTTCTAAAATTGTTGCATAATTTAAAATGGTTGCATAACTGTGAATATACTACAAATTACAGAATTTACACTTTAAATGGTGAATTGTATGGGAACTATTTTCAGTAAAGCTACTATTAAAAGCAAAACAAAAAGCTTCTCCACTGGTTTCTCATCACAGAGTAAAGCCTAAGTTCCTATAAGTGGCCCTACCTGGCCCTACAAGTCTACACACCTAGCTCCTCAATTTCCCTCTGATTCTTCCGGCTGCCACTTTGCTTCCTTAAGTCTGTTCCATTGACCATAGCTCCATTGCTCTTCCAGATATAAGGCAGGCATGCTCTGCCTCAGGGCCTTTGCATTTGCAGTCTCCTGTCAACTTTACTTCCAGATGTCCAAATGGGTCTTCCCCTCATCTCTGTATCTAAGCTCAAATGTAACACCAGTGAGACTTCTTGGAAGCCTCTTTCTAATATTACAGCCTCCTCCCCACAATTCTGTCTCCCTTTTTAAATTTCTTCTATAGCACAACTCATTAGCATCTGAAATACATCTTATAATGGTCTGTCCCTTCCAAACAGAACATAAGCTGAGAGCAGGAAATTTTGTTTTCTCATTATTATATTCTCAGTGCTTGACATATAGTTGGTGTTTAGTAGTTATCAAATAGGCAAATGAATAAATTCTAATTCTAAAATATGTCATCCCTCTACCTCCATCCCAATGCCCCTTACCTCAGTTCAGGCCTCATCACCCTCTCCATGATCACTGAGACAGCCTTGCTACTGTCCTTACAGCCTTCCATCTCTCCTTCAAATTCTGCCCACATTGCAGCAAGACAGCTTTCTCTAAAACATTAAGGTGATTACCTTAATCTTAAAATTCTTCATGGAAGGGGGAGAAACACTTCACAGATTCCCCTCCACCCCAGCTAAGGATCAAGTCCAGTCTTCAGGATTCAAACTCTATGATTTTATACCTTGCCATATAGTTCCATCCCAACACCCCACCCTTCAGCCACAGCAAACATGTCTAAATGTTCCTACTTCTCCGGAGCATGGGCCTTTGTGTATTCTGGGCCCAAACCCTAGCCTGGTGAACGTGTTAAGATTTTCCAGTTCTTCCTGCTCAGTGGCAGAGTTGGCAACCCTGCTGCCCACAAGCTGACATACTCATCCCCCCAGGATCCCTAAGCCAGAACTTTCTCCCATCACAGTACTTCCCATTTTGTATCTATTTGTCTGTTTCCCCTCCCTGACCTGGTACTTTGCCAAAGGAGTGACCACTAAATCTTCAGTTGTTTTGAATAGTTGCTCAGTCATCATGGCACTGAGCTTGCCACATAGTAGACCAACAGCAAATGGTTTTGAATGAATGAATGAGTGTCCTCAGTCCCTGAAGATCCTTTAAGCATTCAGCAGTACTACCTTGCCAGGGCAGTCCTCTTTCTCATTAAAAAATCCCTCCCAAACACCTGCTCAAATTCACAGCCCCATACTTAGCAAGAGGGGACTACATTCCCCTGCTGGCAGTTCAGCAGACATGTGGCTTTAGTCCTTCCATCCTTTCCCACGGCTTTTGAAGACAGAAAGGATGATTTACCTTCACATGAGAGTCATTCTTGCTCAAGGAACAATCAGTTCCCAAGACCTGACAGGACTGGAGGGCATGAGTGGACATCCAAGGAAAACACTGGTGACTTTCACTTCCCAATCAAACAGGACAATTTCTGGTTTGCCAGTGGCAAATTTATTACATGATTAAAGTTCACATAAAAAAGTAATAACCAAAATCTTGGCAGGAAGGCCAGCGCAGAGTCAGGGAGAGCTGCTCCCTGTCTCCAGCCCTCCTGGTCAAGCCCAGTTCCATTAATTCAGCTTAACTTGATCGAATTCCTCATCAAGACTTGCATCTGTGCCTTGGACATCTCTGCTGCTCCGGCTGGAGACTGAGTCCTGGGCCCCTGGCACTGAGGCTTTGGTGAGGGCCCCATACACACCCATGGCCTGAGGACAGGGACAGAGGGAGAGCCTTGAGGACACATGGCAGAAAGTGTGGCCCAATCCACCAATGGCTGAAAGGAAAAAGGTGGGGCTGGGGCCAGTAAATGAGTGTTTCCTTTCTTCTGTCCCTCTTACAAGCTTTGGAGTCAGTTCTAGGAATCTTACAAACCCCAGAGTGGGGTCACCCTCAGAATACCGGTTTAGGCATATGACCCCAATAAGCCTCCAGAGCTTCCCTGTCTCCAGGGGTGAGTGGGGGTGTCTCATTCTTAGAGATTTGTTCTCCACCAGGAATGAAGGGAGGTCTAGGTCTCAAGCTACTTGGAAGGCCTCTATGTGTAAGTAGTGATGATGCGGGTGGGGTCTTAGTCTCTGGCTTTGGAGTTCTGTGCCAGGTCCTTGGGGTACTCTAACCTGAGCCACCATACTAGTGACATCGCCAGGGTTGGAGGGCAGCAGGACAGTGTTGGAGTCCTTGGCCAGCTTGGAGAACGCGCTGACATACTGCTCAGCCACAGTCAGTGAGGCTGCTGCATCTCCATTCTGTGGCCACAGGAGGGATAAAATCAGGGATCATGATTGTAAAGAAGGGGGAGGGGAGGAAGTAGAGAGAAGTCAGGTTGCCGGAAAGAGGATGTGCAGATCACAAACCAAGAGATCATGTCATCTGGAACCCACAACAGCAGGAACTTCTTCCACTGTCAATTTCTGGCCCCCACTCCCACCCAGGGGCCTCTCACATGTTGTGTCAGAGCTGCAGCCAGGATGCGAATAGCTTCAGCTTTAGCCTTGGCTTTGGCCAGAACTGCACTGGCCTCTCCTGGAAGAAAGAAGCCAGAGCTTGACCCGTGAGGACAGAGCACCACCAAACTCCTGCTCCCACAGCAACCCTCCAAGGCCCATGCCCTGCTCCTCCCTCAGCCTCTACCCTCCACTGACCTGCTGCCTGATTAATTTGCTCAGCCTTCTCTGCTTCAGAGGCCAATATCTGTGCCTGCTTCTTCCCCTCTGCCACATTGATGGCCGACTCTCGGGTCCCTTCAGACTCTAGAACTGTGGCTCGTTTCCGCCGCTCTGCCTCCACCTGAAAGCCCCCAGCACCCTCCATCAACAAGAAGCCAGAGTAAACTCTTACACAGACCTGAAACCATACCCACTATAGGGAAGGGAGTCCAGATTCCCATGCAACTGGAGCATTCTGAGGTCCCATTCCCCATCCCTTCTTGGCCCCCACCTGCATCTGCATGGACTCTTTCACTCGGGGTGGCACATGAATATCCTTGATCTCATAACGGAGGCAGCGGATGCCCCAGCAGTCAGCAGCCTGGTTGATGGCATCCACAATGCTAGCATTCAGGGACTCTCGTTCCTGGAGGAGGAGAGGTATATGTTCCATGGCCTCAATCCACCCATCCGAGGTCTATGCTGAGAGGGGGCTATGACTGATCTTGACCACCACCCCCCGGCCCTCACCCCCCACCCTAAGAAAGGACTGGGAATGCCAGGTATATGTTTTCAAGACCTAACTCTGGCTCAGATCCCCTTACCCGGAAGACTTTGTCCAAAGAGAGTTTGCCAAGCTCTGATCTCATGGTTGTCTGAGCTAGCTGGGTGACAGCATACTCTGGATCCTCTACACCGTAGCTTGCCTGAAAGAAGCATGGATGGTTTAAGTTTGCGTTCAGGATTTTCATGAGCAGAACAACTGAATAAAGCAAGGACAGATACCTTGTAAGGGTCCATGATGCGCAGGTAAAGGACTCCATCGATTTGCAGAGTTACATTGTCTGCAGGTGCAGGGGCAGGAGAGAAAAGGAGGAAGGTCAGGCCTCAGGTCCCAATGATCTCTTTCTCCTAAGCTCTGGATCTCCTGCAACAACATCTTAATGGCCTCAGAGCACCCATGTCACCTGCATCCCTCACCAAGAGTCACAGCCGACTGCTCAGGC